TGGTTGCTGCCGAAGCCGGCTGTGTGGCTGTGCCGCTGGCCCCGGGGAAGGGCCTCTTTGCTTTCCTTGGCTGGGCTAACACTCCTTGTGCTGAAGGATCTCGCTCCAGCTGATGGAGGAACAGAAGGGGAGGAGGATGCAAGCAGAGATGCCAGTGTTAAATCCAAGTGTTCTTTATGCGGGAACATAAAGTTGGATCCTCTCAGCCTGTTTGCCGAGCGACTTGGCATGACATTTTGACAGTGATCAATAGCAAAAACACACAAGCCTCCCGCTCTCCTCTTGCTCTGCTCGCGGTGGAGATCTGAACCAAACTAGCCAGGCACAGCTCTTGGAGCAGTGTAAAAATAGACTTCTTCCCCCACCCCATCCTGTTATACTTAATGCTGCGAGCTGGATGCTGGAGTCTCCTCTCTGCTGCCACGAGAAGGACCAGGCGTGTAATATTTGCCGGGTGATTTTTTTTTTTAATTTTTTTTTTTCCCCAGGCAGGGCAGAGACCACAGTCTCTGCTAATCAGTCCCTGGGACTTGTTCCTGCCACGAAGGTACCGAGCAGCCGTGGATGTCCGCAGCCCTGGGGCGATGGAGCCCCCGTACGTTGGACAGGGCTGCCGGCTCTCCATGGCGTTGCAGGAGCTTGCGTGGACTGTGCTAAGATGGGCAGTCGGCCAGCTCTGCTGCTGTTGAGCATATGCAGGCGGCCAGCTCTGTGTGTTTGGGAGCTCAGAGGTGAAACAGAGCAGTCTCTTCTTTAGATAGCTGCTCTCTGGCAAGGCTGACTTGGATTGAGATTCGCCCCCACACTCTCCCGTTCCCAAGGAGGAGCCAGAACACGGCGACCAAATCACAGAGCAAATCGGTGTGAAGAGAAACCAGCTCCCGCGCTCTCTCAGACTGTGTTTTTCACACCTGATCTGCAGCTTCTCTGACCCAGGCACCTGGAATCAGGGTGATTTCTCTACTTTTCTGCTCCTTCCAGGATCTAAAAGAGAAGAAGGAAGTTGTTGAAGAAACAGAAAATGGCAGAGATGCACCGGCCAACGGCAACGCTGTGAGTATGGCTACAATCCGCAGGGAGAGACAGCCCTTAGGCCAACGCCTCTTTATTTTCCTCTCTCTTCGTGCTTTTGCTCCGAGCTCGTCCCCAGCTCTGCTGAGAGGGGACCCCTCCAAGTGGCAGCACTGCGCGGTGCAGAGCCCTTGAGCCTTTGGGGCTTCAGGTTCAACAGATACTCTCGAGCCTGTGGGCAGTTCATGTGTGTGCAGAAAGGAAGGGCTGGTACGGCTCCCCTCCCCGAAAGCCATGTGAGGCTGTGTCCAGTGCCACCTTCTCCCTAGGCACTAGAAAAGGATGAGGAAAAAAACCCCAACTGTAGATTTACAGTTCAGCGGGGAAAAGTGTTGTATACAAGTAAACAGGTTGGTTTCCTATTTTTAACGTGCTGGGGAAAATTCACTCTACTGCGTTTCAACATGTCACAAGAGCCTTTGCAGTCTTGGTGCTGGCCTCAGAGCTGCAGCCCCAAGTTACTCCAGACTTGATCCTTCGTGTGGAGGCAGGCAGGAAACGGGACGCACCCCTGGGGCTCCGGTGGGCTGGTGCTTTGCTTTAGGCAGGAAAGGTGGGGACTGGCACTTCTGCTGAACATCTCTTCCCCCCTTCTCCCTTCCCCAGTGCATTTTTTTTAAGTGATGTTTTGTCTTGCCAAGGAGAACGAGGAAAACGGAGAGCAGGAGGCCGACAACGAAGTAGACGAAGAGGAAGAGGAAGGTGGTGAGGAAGAGGACGAGGAGGAAGAGGGTGATGGTAACTTTCTTTGTTCCCCCCACCCCTATCCCACGGCTGCCTCCTGCCCTGAACAGCAGACTCCCAGAAAGCCGAGGAGAGCAGAGAGCAGCATCTCCCCCTCGCGGCTGCGGCCAGGCTGCTCTCGCCAGCTGGGCTCAGTCCTTCCTTGCTTGCCCGGGCCACCAGTGCTGGGAGTGAAGTCAGCTTTGAATCCCTTCCAGCAGGTTGAGGGCAGATTCCTTCCTTCCTCTGGCCAGACGGCACCGTACCGTGGCGCTGAATAAGCGCATTAGCCCTTCCGTGCGAGTAGTAAAACCTGCCCTTGACTCCCGTGATCACAACGGCTGCTGCGGACACGAGTGCCGGCCCTGTGGGACGGGGACAGCCCTGGATGGCCGTGCCTTGGCCCAGGCACAGAGGATAGGTCACCGTCCTTCTTCGTGGAGCAGCTTGCTGAGAGGCTGCTGGGGTGTCCCCTCTCCTAGCCCTTTCCTGGGCTGGATGCCGTGTAGAAGCAGGCAGAGGAACCTGCGTCTCTTCCCTGCCTCTCCCAACGGGAGTGGACAGGCTTGCTTTGAACCTTCCCTGTCTGCAGTGTCCCGCATCTCCCTGCCCTCCCCTGCTTCCTGACCTGACCCAGCCTGGAAGTGGGTTTTGGCAGCAGCGACCAGAAATCCAGCAGTGACTTGCCGAATCACTTCTCACCCTCCCCGCTCTTATGTTTTTTTTTTTTTTCCCCAAGATCTGCTTGGATGAGTAACGTTGTTTATTTTTATCACTCGTTAAGGCTGGGAGAAAACCATTCTTGTTATGCTGAAATGAAGTCAGGGCCCTTGATTAGCTGTTACTAGGTTAATCCCCTGTGAATTTTCGGTTTACGTGCTGACCTACTAACCTCTTGGTTAGTTTTGGGAGACAGGGACAGGGCTGGAAATTAATGACCGTTAGACCAGCGCCTATTCAGACAGCGTAAGCAGCAAAAGCTGCCTCCTTTGGGGTAGCACTCAGCTCTTGGCTGTCTGCTGTGCCCTCTGGTAGGAACTGGTTCACTGGGAATTGTGGCCCTCTTCATGCTAGGGGTTTTAATCCTTTGGGGACAGAGCGCAGTGTTGCCGTGTGCTGTCCTGAGCCCTGTCTACCTCCACTCTGCTTAGGAGTGGAAAATGGGGGAATACTTGCCTCTCCCTGCTCCCCTCGGGCAGGAGGGGGATGTGCGTGCTGCAGGCGTGTGTGTGAGTGGGGTGGAAGTGTTGCTTGGATACTGCTGTGACAAGCCCGGGGAGCTCTGGTCCCTTTCGCAGTGCCAGCCCC